CATCGTTAAGATGTCTCCCACTTGGTAAAGGGTCGCGTTTATAGTGCCACTTTTGCTACATGTAAGTGAGTCGTGACCAGTTCACGTAGTGGACATGCGCCGGCTCTCGGCCTTTGACAATGGGTACTTGTGGATTGCCCGTGTGTGGTAGCAGCAAAATATCTGCAACAGTGAAGTTCGACGTCGTATCTTAGGGGATGCGAGTATTCCTTCAACAAGTTGGTCTTGCAGCATCAGTTAAGATGGCTCGGTCACGTCCTGCGTGTCAGCTGAGCGCCTGCCCCATTGCGCTCTGTTCGCTCATGAAGGACCTACCTGGAGGAGACCGTGTGGCGGTCAGTCATCCACTTGGCGACAGCATACGAAATCGTTAACTTCACGTCTTGCTGCTGTTGGACACACACGGTTGCCTGGTTGGGAACCAAAGGATGAAAAGTGCCAATGGGCCGAAACAATTCAGGATATGGCGCGCAGTCAAAACCAGTGGAAGATCTGTGTATATAGTTCTTTAGATAAAGCTGTATAACGCTTAACAATTGAAAAAGACAAAAAAGTGAAAAATGGCGTTGAATGGCTTACGCCGAAAGATTAGAGTGACAACGGAGCACGAACAGCATGATACGCTGCCGTTCCTTGACATCCTGATAGAGCGCAGGAGTGACGGTTCAGTACGCGGATCAGTTCACCGCAAGCCAACGTGGAATGGACAGTACTTGAACTTCTGCAGTTTTGTCCCCAGGAGGTATAAATTAGGTCTAGTGAAGACTTTGTTCAACATAGCTAGAAAAATATGCACTGCTGACACGCTGGAACAAGAGGTTCGGCTGATAAGCAGCACCCTCGTAGACAATGGGTACCCACCGTCTTTGATCGCTCAGTTTAGTGCTGAGAAAGAGAAAACATGTGTGCCCACGGTACCAAAGATGAAGTTAGCCCTGCAATTGCCATTCAAGGGCGACGACGTATGCCAGATTTTTCAACGCCGATTGAAATCCGCAGTGGCGCGCGTATACCCTGCGGGGAACCAGTACTCATCTACACAACGAATCGTATCCTTAATCCATCGGTTAAACCCCCGGTGTCGCTGTCCAGCCGTTCACATACCCTTTACCAATTTACATGTATTTCCAAGGCCGAATACGGGGGCATGACAGAACGACAATTGAGGGTGAGGGTCGCGGAGCACATACCGACATGGGTGAGTAAACACGTTTCGCAGATGGCCACGTCCATCACCTTGGATGCGCAGCCAAGGAAGCGAAATGAAGTTCCATACAAACAACCAGCTTCATCAATCGCCGCCACCTGCTGGCTGACAATCACTGTGTAGACCCCGTGCGGGCGTTCCGTGTTATCTATGCATCAATGAACCCCCTAACTTTACGATATGCTGAGACCGTGGCTATCTAATAACTTGGCCCAACGCTGTGTGTGCAGAAAGACGCATTTGTGACCCTGGCCTTGCTGTGGTAGCAGACCGGGCACAGATGACAAAGTGACATGAATGTAGGTGTGTATAGTTTGGTCAATTTGCCATTTTAACTGCGCTCCTTTCATTATGCTATAAATTCACACGTCTGTAGTACGCACTTGAAAATATGCAGAGAAATTATTCCGGAATTAAATCGTGCGGCACTCTTGTGTTAACTTTTCTGCTAAATGTTTTCTCGGGAATTAATTGTTTCAACAAAATATAAGTCCCGTTTTTATGCGGCGCAGCAGCTAAAGTGCGCTGCTCACCTTCAGCAAATGTGCCATGTTGACGATGTGATGATTAAGCCTGTGATTTCCAGGGTTTTTGTATGGCTCCAGGTCTATTCGTTAGATGGTTGCTAATACCAGTGAAAGAAATTTCGGTGACTTCGTTAATAGCGAAGTTGAAAACGTAAGGTGACATCAGACATCCTTGTCTCCCAGAGGGAGTTGTTGAAGAGCGGCGACAGCTTGCCGTAAGTCCTCATTCTGCCTGACGTGCGCGAGTAAAGTGCTCGCATGATATTTACATAATTCGCGGGTACATCTGTCCATAGCAGACAAGCCCAAATGGCACACTGAGTAACCAAATGGAAAGCACCTTTTGTGTTGAGGAACACAACGGTGGGCCGCCAATATGTGTGACGGTGCTCCAACAACTGACGCAAAGTGAAGATGTGGTCAATGCCTCCTCGACGAAACCCAGCTTGCTCTTCACGAATCGGCCTTTCACGAGTGCCAGTCAGTTTGTGAAGGATTACAGAGGCAAGCAATTTAGAGGCGATGGGGTTTAGACTGATTGCTCTATGGTTGCCGCAATCCGATCGTGAGACCCTTGAAAATTGGGACTATGACGCAGCAGCTAAGATCCGTTGGGAGAGTTTCCTGCTTGCACAGTGTCACTAGTAACACGTGCAAATTTCCCACAAGAGTAGAGCCCCCGAATTCGAAGAGGACGGGAGGAAGATCATCTGGTATCGCGGATTTATTCAACTTCAACAGTCCGATCTCAGGTTGGACTTCTGAGCAAGAGGGTGGATCCAAAGGGACAGCCTATGGAGCAGACCGATCCGTGGCAGGCGATAAATCTCAGCCCAACGCTCCAAGCGTTTTCACAAGTTGGGGATAGTGTGTCTACTCTCGTCATTAATTGTTTCACTAACACCAGGTCTGCTGCCCGTTTCCCGAAGGCAGCGGCAACTTCCATCTCTGACGCATGAAGAGACCACCAGGATTCGCGGTCTCTCTTCAGACTAGCAGGGTTTTACCCGGAGCTCTTTGCGAGACGGAATATGCCGGGGAGTATCGATAAGTTCCAGAGACTGCGAAGAGACCTAATGTCTATGTTGGCGATTAAACTTACCACATGAGGAGTTGCCTGCTGCTAGTAAGATCTGGTGAACATGAGACTAGTGAGCTTCAATTATATCCCGTGAGCGCTTACTTAACTCGCATGTCAGCGTACTTTGATAGGCATTCAAAACAGCTGGCGTCGCCAGTTGGCTGGTGTCAATGCGCTCACAGCGTCGTCGTGAGCGTCCGCCAAAACGCATCGATAAGTCAGCACGTACAAGTGCATGATCGGTGTCAACACCTGTGCTCCAAATCGAGCGACAGTTCTGGACGCAGCCTCTCCATCGGTAACTTATCGCAATGTGATCGATTGGCGTTCATAGCTGGTTTGAGGCTGGTGGGCACCAAGTCACCCTTCTGCGACTACTGTGTCGGAAATTAGTGCTCGCAAGAAATAAGCGAGCATCATCAGATAAATAAGGTAACTGCTCACCATTATCATTACGGGAGCCTACACCATGTTGGCCGCCCAGATACGGTTCATCAATGGGTAATTTTTCAACTTGAGCGTTCAGATCCCCAGCTAGCACTACAGTGTCCGATCTTTCTCTGTGGCGAAGGAGCTCGTTCAGTTGGTCATAGAAGTCGTCTTTTACCGAATCACCGCTACAGTTTGTGGGTGCATAAGCAGCGACGACGAACAGACACCTGTTAGTCCAGCGCGATTTCGAAGCTTTGAAGGAGCCAGTCAGTTGGACCGCACACATCCGGCTACTGATTGGAATCCAATCAACCAGAGCAGCTTCAGCCCGGGAACTCAGGGCAATACCTACCTGGCTGGACCGGTGCTAGAAGCTGCATCGCCACCGGATAGGCGCAATGAGAAAGTCCTGATAGTGTCACCTGAAGGGGATCGCAAGGTGTGCACAGAGCTCGAGTTTTGCAGGCGGGTCTCCGATAAGCAACAGATATCGATGGAGAGGGTCTTTAATGTTCATGCAAGTGTTGCTTGTTGACCGATCTGTAGCAAGATGCGTACACTGAGGCATGCCAATTTGAAGGAGAATCGAGGGATCCAAATGGAAGCCAATGAACTGGGCATGACAGCTTGCTTGGACTTGGGCTTGTCGGCAGGACAGAAATGACGCTCCGCGTTCAAATGTGTTGAAACTATGAGGTAAAGTCTATCAAAGCAAGGTGGGGCCAAGAATTCCAGGGTTGAATACAGGGGGATAAAAGTGAAGTTGGAACGGGACGACAAAGGTGAAAAAGCGTAAGAGGGGAAATAAGAAGACACGAACGCTTGAGCAGTAGTATCGAAACCCCTATCCACCCTGCTGGATGCAGCAGATACGGCACCGTGGATTATCCTCCGCGGTGGACAGAGCATCAAGAAATTGTTTGACGAAAAATGCATAGCATTGCGTGGGCAGGATAATGTCAGGTTGCCCAGGCCTAGACAGGAGAACGATTAGGGTTTTCAACCAAAGTCTTTGGTTCAAAAACCTGACCGTAAGGCAATGGGTTTGGCGGTGGGTTACAAGGAGTCCGCTTTAAGGAATAAGGAGCCACCTTCATACCAACCCCCAACCTGGAGGACCAGGAGGGTGAGTTCGTCTGGCCTCTAACTATTGACCAATCTGGTATGAGTGGCTCTGAAGGTGCAAAGAAGAACCACCCAGAATAGCTCAATGGATCTCTAAAGCCCGAAAACCATCGCAAAACGGTAAGGTCCAACTTCAGCCAGCACTAGTGTCCGTGCTCCTCTTGTGGCGATAAAGCTCATTTAGTTGGTGATCGAAGTCGTCTTTTACCGAGTCATCGATACAGTTCTCGGTGCATGACTATATTATAAGCTATTCCGCTCTGTACTGCTATGTCATTTGAATCGAGTTACTCTTCAGTATTCAGGCAGACAACGAGTTCTTCTGGGTCCGAAACGTAGTACTTAACAGGGCATCACACACCACAAACTGTAGATGACTCACTATGCGAAACGAAACATATTTATTATGTACGGGTTCCCTGCGATTACGAGGTAAACTTTAGGGTTGCTATGCCCAATTGTGTGCACAGCTTTGCTGGCAGGATAATCTGTCAAAGTGACCTACCCTCACTCTCCCAAGCGCGCTTAAACATTAGCACAGATAATTAGCAACAATATGTTTGAAAGCCTTGGGAAAGGTGTGAGACATGACGACTAATTCGGATAATACACTGTGAGAAGTACTTACCCAAGTAATATATTCCGCGATGCGGTTGCGCCTGATAAAAGGTCAAAATTTACATCAGAATCACATTACCTGTGCGAAGAGGAAAGAAAACCTGACCAAAATGGTGCTGATTCACATTTCTCCCTCATGATTTGATGCGTTGAAAGGCTACATTTACCTAGCTGGGAGGCGTTGACAGAATAGAAAAACTTGCCTCATCCGGCTGATCGTACACTTTATAGTGTCTTCCAAAACACCTTATGCGGTGGTAATATAGCTACATAGGCGCAACAAACCTGCCGATGCAATCCACCCCGACAATCCTCCGGACAACGTTGCCCATTGTAATATGCGTCTGGTCGAGGGTTCTGAGGGCTCCCGGTTCCGCGGCGTAAGTGGGTCGTAGTAGACCAAGAGGGCTGAAAGGCAAAAGAGATGCTTCATAGTCATGGACAGTGAAATATTCCTACCTGGCTACGCACTACTGAGGTCGGATCGCCCCTGCGACCGTCGTGGTGGTGGAGTTGCGCTCTACCTAAACTCGAGTTTAAGTGTCTCGAAGACATTTAAATTCCACTCAACGGATAGGACTGTAGAAGCCCTTTCGGTGGAAGTAAGTACCCAGTCTTCGCAATTTAAGATTGTGTTAGTGTATAGAAGTCCTGATAGTGTTTCTACAAGTTACGTTGATTTTATTCGCGCTCACTCTACAAACCGATGCTTAGTGATGGGGGACTTGAACTTCCCAGAGATAGATTGGCGCAAACTACTCTGCGAGACGGCGACTACAGGTTTGCCTGCAGAGCTCGTAGAGCTTTGCATTAAACCCCCTATATCAGTTTGTAGATCAGTTAACAAGGTTTATGGAGGGACAGTCTCCGTCTATTCTTGAGCTTATTTTCGCAAAATCAATTGATTCTGTAAGTAACATAGTTTACGGTTAAGCGTTTGGATCTAGTGCGCTGTCAATAGAGTCCAAAAGAAATGCGTGATTATACGCCCAAACACCTGGCTTGCTGATTTTTAGGTAATGTAAACCAGAGCTGCCTTGTCACCCTGCACCATGTTGGCCGAAGATGATATGTAGACGGCATGGGAAAAATTCAAGGCATTCCTCTCTGAGGTGTCCCTTCCCCACATTCTGCTTTCATTTGGAAGGAAAGCAAACTCCAAACCACCATCGTTCGATCTAACCGCCCGTCAACTATTAAACAGGCGGGCCAGGTGTTGGCGGAGTCACCTTTCGACTCTGTCAGATGATGCCTTGCGGTGTTATGGAGCGGCACGGAACAAGTGTAAGCAGCACTTAAGGGTTGCCAGGCTTCGTTACGAACTGGAGCTAGCAAACAGCTTCAAGCAGTCCGAATCGCATTTTCGCTTACGTCAGAAGACGATGCCGTGCGGATCCATGCATCCCGGTGTTGCAAAGACTGCGCATACCGACCGCGATAAGGCCTGCCTTCTCGGCGAGCAGTATGCGAAAATGTTAACTCTCAAGTCCTTTTTACCAAGTATGGATTTAGAGAAAAAAGCTACAACAGACTTTGTTGACAGATATCAAGTGTCAGAGGCCCAGGTGCGTTTACTGCTGCGAGAACTGAACCCTACCAAAGCCGCTGGTGTTGATGCTATTCATCCAAAACTTTTATATGAACTGACAAATGAAATTTGTGGACCCGCAGCTTGCCTGTTTGAGAATCCTCTTACTAGTTGCACTTTACTCAGCGACTGCAAGGAAACTGTAGTTTTCCCTATTTTTAAAAATGGGGATAAGCATCTTCCTGGAAACTACAGGCTTGTCAGTTTAACCTGTGCGCTGGTCAATTTGCTAGAAAAGCTAATGAGGGATGCCCTCGGAAACAGGTTAAGGATGTTTGGCCTCCTCAGCCTATGTCAACATTGTTTTCACAAAGGATACTCCTGCCTGACCAACTTGGTGGTTGCTCGGGAAAGTTGGGTGGAGTCTGTCGATCAGAGGCATTCAGTGGAGGTGCTATTCATTGACTTCTCCAAAGCGTTTGACACTGTCGAGCATACTCGTCTTTCCCTTAAGCTTCGGTCCTACGGAGTTTCCGGGTATGCGCTTCAACGGCTGTGCGTATTTCTCGAAGGGTGAAAGATAAGTGTTCGGGCGGTCTCCTCTTTCTTTCCGACAAGCCATTCTGAGCAGTGTCCCGCAGGGATCAGTTCTTGGTCTACTACTATTTGCTATGTACGTAAATGAACTGTCAGAAGTGCTGGGGGTGCCTATCCTCATGTTCACCAACGAATTTAAGTTTTGGTGCACAGTGAGCGACGCCGATTGCTCCCAAGTTCTGCAACAAGCTCTTGAAAGACTTCTTGATTGGTTCATTCTATGGCAGAAGCTAATAAACTATAGCAAGTGTTCAGTTTTGCGCATAGAATCAAATGGTACGACAACGCACTACATGTTTGGCGATAATGAAATCACCCAAGTATCCCAACAAAGTGCCTTAGCTATCACTTTGTCTCAGGACTTGAAATCCAGTGAGAACTGAAAGAAATCGTCATGCAGGGGTTTTCGAACCTTCTGGATGATCCGTAAATCATCTGAGATCCTAACGGAAGAAATGTTTGGCAAATTGTTTACGGCCCTTATTAGACCGCACCTGGAGTGTTGCGTCCTTCTAGCCTGACTCGTGACAGGATGGCGGTTGAGGTCTTGAGAATCAGAACCAAAACGGTTCACGGGTTGCGGCACCTGCCCTTTCCTGACAGGTTGCTCAAGCTAAGGATGTGTTCGATACATTAGCGTCATCTTCTTGGCGACCTGATTCTTATCGTATACTGTCAGGGCGGATAGGTCCAGAACTCTCCTGGCGTTTTCATCCTACACAGTCACTTACTCTGCGCAGGGCATCCGATGAGATGGCACAAACTCAGATCTGATAGGGCCCGGGCTGACACTCATTTGTCACGCCGAGGAATAAATTATTGGAACGCACTACCTTCATCATCATCATACACGTTAGCTAGAGGTGGGGAACACCTCAGCTACTGTGCCGCAATACACACGCACTACCTTAGGACGTAGTCTTTCCATCCACGGGTGACAGAGTTCAAACGTCGCCTTGACGCCCCCAACTTGCAGCTCCGAATCTTCCCCTTCTCTTGATGTAGTTTGCTCTCCAGTTATATTCCATTTTATTCACTCTTAATAACTTCATTGTCCTCTTTCGTACCCATCCGCTTTATATCTAGTCTACAATTTTCTATTCCATTTTATTTCATGCGACCGACATAGCGGGGACGGTTAGTGCAAAACACGTGGGTTTTGATTGGTTCATCATGATTTGATGTGTACGTTCTGATTTGGCTTCCATAACTGGCCGCTCTTGCATCCACATTATAAATTGGATCAATGACGGATACATGATGGAAGGATCAAAGGAATTTCCTTTTGTTCCTGTCCCCATTGAATTTGTAGGCTGCTGGACAACCAACTAGTAAGAGTAGGAGCTGGATGAACGTTGCTTGTGTCGTATCTCGCGGTTAGCTGCCGATAGAAGACCGAGCGCCAGGCTATTAGGTGGATGGCGTGAAAGCACGCGATAAGTGGATACTCCAACAACACCGAAGACGAAATGGGAAAGCAAAGAGAAGAGGAAACGAAGATCACAAAACGAGCTACGCTCGACAAAAAACTTACCTGTTGACTTGCTACAGTAACACGCTAACGCGCTACATTACCCCCCCCCCCCTCTCTTATGACGTGCTGTCCTCAGCACCTACAGAAGCGCTGACCCGTGTCAACCTGCGTAGCGACTGTGTTAAGTTGACGGTTGGTCTTCAACCTGCTTCTTGGACCTGAATGATACTTTTTCTAATTTCTGTTGATTTAGGTCGCCTATCATTTCCGCATGGATTCTAATCGGGTTTCTTATAGTAAGAGTGTCACTTACCGATCGAAGGCCGTACAGTGCTCCTTGTGTGACGGTTGGATTCATGCTGCTTGTTGTGGTCTGTCCGGGCTTACATGGATACCTACAACGGACAACGTCTCAAGCCATCGCCTTCTTTTGTGACTCCTGAAGAGTAGCAATCAGGGACAGACATCAGGTTGCCGGTTTACCAGTGTCGAATCCACGTCCCACTCTTCTGCACACCGCGTTGTTTGCTTCGCCGGACTCGGTCTTACCTGCGGGTCCTCCTTCCCCCTGTTCTGGGTTCGTAACTCCCATGGGTAAGCAACGTCGTGCCACGTCTCTCTCAGTAAATGTTACTAATCACTATGCCGAACCTCCGGTCAGGACCTATGCATCTGTGGTCCAAGAAGTCGCGGCGCCGTCAGGCAGCCGTAATTCAGACATGTGAGAAGCGAAGCCAAAATCAAAGTCTAGTGTCAAATCAAAGCCCTCTTTGCAAATGGAGAATAAGCAGGTTCTTGATAGAGGCACCCGATTGGAGAATTTGTTTAAGAACATATCAATTTCTCATAAGCAGGTGGCATCTAGAGACTCCTATCGCCCCTCTCGTGACCGCTGCCTTATGATTGTAAATGCACCGGAGTCTTCCAAAGCTACGCCAGCTAAAAGGATCCTAGACGATGATTTCACTGCTGTTTGATGGTGAAGCCGTGATAAATGTTGTTTCTGCCTTTTGTATTGGCAGAAAGCAGAAGGACTCTACAAAGTCTCGCCCTCTCAAGATCGTATGCCAAAAGGAAAATAAATGCAGTCGCATCCTCCGACGCACTTCACGACTTAAAGGAAAATCGTTTTATGTTCTGAGAGATCAGTCACCTGAGGATCGGATAAAGATGAAGAGTGCAGTTGATGAACTCCGAACCCCCCGAGCAAATGGTGAAACGGACCTTCACATTGTGGATTTTCGAGTGGTTCGGAAAACCCCGAGAACTCGCTAGAAACCCATTCTTGTCCTACCCGGGTAGTAAGATCGAAGAACGGTTTGAGTGTGCTGTTCGCTAACTGCGCAGTTTGCGGAACAAATTGGACGAGGTTCAACTTCTTGCCATCGATAATCACCCTGACTTGATGGCTTTCTCTGAGACGTGGCCGTCCCCAGATATCCGTGATTCGAAAGTATATATTCCTGGATATGACTTCTCCTGGGCTGATCACGGAGCTAGGTCAGGCGGTGGCGTGATACTCTATTGGACGGCGGACCTCAAGGCACATTTGCTTGACACTATCTGTGATACAGATGAAGGCTTTGAAGCTCTGTGTCGTCGTATTCATGACGGGTGTAGATCTCTTCTGGTCTGTGTAGAATATAGATCTCCCTTAGGTTTGGGAGCTCTTCTGGTGGATTCAATTAAATCGCACGCCAAAGGGGAGGACTGCTTAATTGTTGGAGATTTCAATGCATCTGGCATTGAGTGAGATCTGCTTTATTCTGGTCTTCCTTCTGACTATTTTGATGCTTTTCTCATTCAGACC